ACCTGGTAATGCATAATATTTTTAAAAAAATTTAGATGTGTTTAAAAAATTATTTTATTCTAATGGCTTTATTCTAGCAATATCAATTTTACAAAACATTTTAAGAATTTAATTGCAATCATAAGTTTACATTCATTTGATTAAATACAATGCAAATAAAATTAAAGGTGTTTTTTGTACAATTTGTAACTTTGTAATTAAAATTGTGAAGGAAGATGTTACTACTAAATAATAGATAAAACTTTAGAATTTGTAAGAAAACAATTATTGATGTAAATTTTTGATTTATTGTTTGTAAAATGTATAATATCTTTTTGATAATTGTAATTATTTAACCCCTGAACTCACACCCTTTATACTAATAAAGATTGATGATGATGATGATGATGATGATAAATTAAAGATATTGAAAATTAAAATGAAAGTAATTATTTTCAATAAGTAGATCTAACAAAAATGAAGTACATCATATATGTTAATGCATCCAAATTTTTACAATTCTTAATAATTTACAAAATATTTCATATCAGAATTTTTCAGGGTACCTCAGATAATCAAAAAATTCATTATTTAGGATACATTAACTGAGGTAACCTCAGTTAACATATCATAAATAATCAAGATTTTATTGTACTTAACTTTGAGAAAAATAATTGCATAGTTCCAGCTACCCAGTCATTGAGAATTCATCATTAATCATATACATAACTTTCAAATGTGTTATGAACACCTCTCAATTTATTATCATAAAAGCTATTAAACAGTATTTTACAATTGCATTGTTTATCATAAGGATGTAAAAAGTCATCTCTATTCTCAGTTTCAATCAATTTTTCTTAATGGAATTAGTTGTAAATGCTAGAAAATTCAAATTATAGATAATTGTGACTAATTTTATCAACTTTTTAAAAAATCATTTATAATTTATTTTTACACTATTTCATAAAATTCTCTATAACAACTTAATAGTATCCCAGAATATCCTTTCAATCTTACCTTGCAAAGTAGTTACAAACCTTTGCTTAATCCAGCATATAATTTTTCAGAAAAAACAAATGTTTTAGGTTATTTTAAATAGCATCTTCAGGTTTGAAAAGTCATTAGCATTGGAATAGAATGGTAGTGAATATTATGATATGTCATTGTAATGATGACATTTCTAAACTATATAACTAAAGCTTTAAGATGTTGATCTGCTGTTTATATAAGAGCTACAGGTTGCTCTTCTCTCAATATGTAATTAATTCAAAAAGTATAGTAAGAGATGGGTTCATAGGCTGTGTCCTTGCCATATCAGGAAAAGAAAAACCAATAGCCAAAACTAAAAAAATGTATCTTTCTGGAAAAAAATGGAAATTAGTCATAACTGTTATTGATGAAACATGAATATACATAGACAATATTAACAAATCACAAGCCATTTAATGCAAACCAACTGATGGTTTGTAATAAATGGCTTAGCAAAGTTAGGTTTTACTAAAAAATCTAGCAACAAGAGTTTCATAACTTTCCAGGTGTTATGAGATTTTTTTTAAAAAACTTTTATATTATTAAGCAAAAATAAAATTGTGAGAGACACCATCTGTTATAAAAAGATTTTATAACAAAATCTGATGTTTTTAATTACTATAAAATGGCAAAAAGCTTATTTTGAGGGTAGGGATGAATTTTATAAAAAAGTGTAAATGTTAATAACAAATAAATCTTCATATGTCCTACCCCTCTCGAGATAGATGACCCCTCTATTTCCCCACCCTCTTGACCTTTCACCACCAAAATTTAATAGCATCAATGTCTCTCATATGCAAGCCACCATGTCAAATTTTGTTTCTTAATATCTCAGCATGGGGTAAAGATTAAGTGAAATAGATGCCAAAACATACAGGCACAGAATTTTTTTTGCCTTTTTTTTTTTTTACTTTTTTGGATTCAGAACAACTCAAAACGTGAGGATTTGCAAAAATATCAGAGGGTCAAATTTGACACGATTCCATTACTTTCTCTTGTTATATATACATAACAGTCGAAAAAGTAAATCTAGCAAGAGCTCTTGCTTGACTTTCCCAGTCTTGAACATGAGGTTAAAGAGACAGATAGATAAATAATTGAAAATTATCTACCTATATTTGGTTTATGGTGTCTGACGTCGTCTTCCGATCTCCAGGAACCCTCTCCATCTCTCTATCCATACACCATTCCTCTTTAATCCCTTTTTCACTACATGCTAACTTTACTCTGTCATACCAAGTCTGTCTGGGCCTTTCTCTCTTTTTTGTTTTTTGTGGATTGTATTCCATTGATATTTTCAGGAGTATTTCATCACTCATTCTTTTCACATGTCAAAACCAAATAAGCTGTTTCCTCTTTATTTCTTCCAAAACCATCTCCTTCAATCCCATTAGGTTTTTGATTCTCTCATTAGTTATTCTTTCTCTCTTTGAGATTCTGCACAACTTCTCAATGCATCCATTTCAACCGTTGTAACTTTTCTCTTCTCTTTCCGAGTCATTCTCCATGCCTCCACCCTATATAACAGAATGCTTTTAACAATAGCATTATATATTCTTTTTTTCTTGATTTAGTTATTTCTTCACTCCACCATATTTCATTTAATCTTTTAACTGCTCTCTTATCTTGTGCTAATCTTATATTAATTTCTAATGTATCTCTTCCATCTTGATAAATTTGTAATTTTATTTTGTAATATAATTAAAAATTATATTACAATATTGTTATATTGTAATATAATTAAAAATTATATTACAATATAACAATATTATATTACAATATAAAATTTAAATAATAATAAAAGCTTTAAAGGAGTGATTTTGTTGAATTATGAAAACTTTTACTGGTTGCAGAAACAGGACACATTGTCAATCATCGAAACAATATTAAGGTGTCTATTACTAAAAAAAGACAACAAGGAAAGCTTTTAAAAAGACAATAGTGTTTACTCAAAATGCAGTGTATAAAGAAAGATTTTATTATTATTTTAATATAAAGGCTTAAATCTGTTTGTGTGAGTGTAAGTGAATTATCTATAATTCCTACTGTTTTTGTCCACTCCAGGTGAAATGTTTTGTTGCTCTTTATGTTACAACAGATAGTATAAACTATTTAATTTGTAGAAATATAAGCAACTCTTCTTGAATTTCTTAAAAAATCTATTCTTCTCAATTCTTCAATCTCTACTTTCTCATAAAAAGTATTCTGTCATGCTTGACAGGGAAATTTCTAGTCCTGAAATATTAAACAAAATAGATGCCAATACATACATAAATAAATAGGAAAAAATTGTGTGTATTTATTTTTTTTTACTTTTTTCAGGTTCAACGAGTCTCAAAACATCGAGATTTGTAAAAAATCTGGAGGGTCAAATCTGACAATTACAATACTTTTCTGTTATAACAGCTGGAAAAATAAAACAGTATAGAGTGTGTCATAAGTTTTAATCTGAACTTATGATTGTTGCAGGATTCTTTCAGATGAAGTTGCAGTTTTGTAAACTGGGTGTAAACATTAAAATTAACTTGAAATATTTCCATATGAACATTCTAGACCAGATTTACTATAATAAAATAATAAAATTCCATCATTCTAAGTAGTTTGGGTCCATCAGGTCTTGAGTCATAGGTTACAATCAACCTGTTCCCATCTTAGACTACAATTATAATCTGTAATCATGGTTTTCAAGCATATCTTACTGAAAAAATTCAGCCTNCTTCACTCCACCATATTTCATTTAATCTTTTAACTGCTCTCTTATCTTGTGCTAATCTTATATTAATTTCTAATGTATCTCTTCCATCTTGATAAATTTGTAATTTTATTTTGTAATATAATTAAAAATTATATTACAATATAACAATATTATATTACAATATAAAATTTAAATAATAATAAAAGCTTTAAAGGAGTGATTTTGTTGAATTATGAAAACTTTTACTGGTTGCAGAAACAGGACACATTGTCAATCATCGAAACAATATTAAGGTGTCTATTACTAAAAAAAGACAACAAGGAAAGCTTTTAAAAAGACAATAGTGTTTACTCAAAATGCAGTGTATAAAGAAAGATTTTATTATTATTTTAATATAAAGGCTTAAATCTGTTTGTGTGAGTGTAAGTGAATTATCTATAATTCCTACTGTTTTTGTCCACTCCAGGTGAAATGTTTTGTTGCTCTTTATGTTACAACAGATAGTATAAACTATTTAATTTGTAGAAATATAAACAACTCTTCTTGAATTTCTTAAAAAATCTATTCTTCTCAATTCTTCAATCTCTACTTTCTCATAAAAAGTATTCTGTCATGCTTGACAGGGAAATTTCTAGTCCTGAAATATTAAACAAAATAGATGCCAATACATACATAAATAAATAGGAAAAAATTGTGTGTATTTATTTTTTTTTTACTTTTTTCAGGTTCAAGGAGTCTCAAAACATCGAGATTTGTAAAAAATCTGGAGGGTCAAATCTGACAATTACAATACTTTTCTGTTATAACAGCTGGAAAAATAAAACAGTATAGAGTGTGTCATAAGTTTTAATCTGAACTTATGATTGTTGCAGGATTCTTTCAGATGAAGTTGCAGTTTTGTAAACTGGGTGTAAACATTAAAATTAACTTGAAATATTTCCATATGAACATTCTAGACCAGATTTACTATAATAAAATAATAAAATTCCATCATTCTAAGTAGTTTGGGTCCATCAGGTCTTGAGTCATAGGTTACAATCAACCTGTTCCCATCTTAGACTACAATTATAATCTGTAATCATGGTTTTCAAGCATATCTTACTGAAAAAATTCAGCCTAGCTAGCAAATGTGGTAGTTTTAGCAACAATCATTATTACAATTTCTTTTACATCACCAAAAATGTTTATCAAATTTATGTTTTTATCAAAAATAAAATAAACGATATTTAAATAAATACAACTTTATTATAAATATATGAAAGATAATTTTTAAAATAATAATATATTTTATACTTACCAGGAATTAATACCACACTTGATGATGCTTGACCCATTTTATTGCTTGCAATTACTGAATATTCTCCTTCATCAGACTCTTGTAAATTAGTGATTTCAAATAGCCATTCTCCATAACCAATGCTATCTGAAATTTCATTAAAAAAAGATGCTATTATTTATCATTTATCAATTTTATAACTTTATTTATCTATAAGAAGTTTAGAAAAAACAGTGTTTGCATATGAAGTAAATTAGATACTAACTTCAAATTTTTTTCTGTTATTTTTATTTAAGATTTTCTAATACTTTCATAGTATTATTACTTTCTAATATAGTTTAAATAATGTTTAATGAGTAATGCCAAATTACATAATTAATCAAGAAAATTAACTCTCAAAGTTCCTTAAACAATATATTCCCAATAAAATTGTTACTTAATCATATTGCATGAAACCCTTATTTATATCAAAAGCTTTGTATTTTTTATTAATTTTTCAAATTATAACATTAATACATTTTCCTGCATGCAACTTCAAAATGATGAACATTGCAAATATGATGTTTTATGTTTACTATATAAAAAATTTGTTCAGATAATATAGTTATAAAAAGTTTAATGACAGTTATAAAGAGTTAAAATTTTACATGAAATTTACAGTTTACATATCAAACAAAAATGTGAAAAAAATAATTATAAATAAAATTCAAACACTGCAAATTTATTTTAATTCCAATAATTTATATATATTTATATATATTAACCTATTTACAGATAAATGATATATACATTTAATTGTGCTAACTAAAAATTACATTCAATCTGACAACATATTGAAATCTAAAAATACAGTTATTAATTCTTAATCATGTCTTATGTTTAAGTGTCAATAAGTGCATGAGAATACTGTAATGTGTTCCAAACAAGAGTGGTTTTACTTTCCAAACTGTTATGTATACATAACAAAGAAAAGTATTAGAGACTTCCTGAACCAAAAAAATAAAAACAAAAACAAAACAATCCATGCATGTGTATGTTGGCAACTACTTGGTTTAATATCTCAGGATGGGGTAAAACTTAAATGAAATTTGGCATGATAGCTGTGTGTAAGGGACATTGATGCTAGTAAATTTTGGTTATGGAAGATCAAAGGGATAAATAGATTAGAAGGTGGTCACATGTCATATCTCAAGTGGGGTAAGACTTAATGAAGATTTTTCTTGTTGTTAGCATTTACGATTTTTTATAGAATTCTTCTCTACTCTCAAAATTAAGTTTTTTGCCATTTTAAAATAATTAATAATGTAAAAAGCTTTTTAATAATAAAATCTCATAATAGATGGCACAACAAACAATTTTATTTATTATGATAATTTAAGTTATTTTTTACATAAAATCTCATAACAGCTGGAAAAATTACATAACTTGTTGCTGGATTTTTTTTCTTTCATGTTATCAAATTGCAATATTCATAGCAAGAATCAAAATCTATTCACTTTCATTATATGTCTAAAATACTTATTTATTTAATTTGTACAGGTTGTCAATCCCTAGGAAGAGAGACAACAATGATATGAATAACACAGTTATTAATTGTTGAACTATCTCAATAACAAATAATTATATAAGGTTAATACAAAAGCAATATGAACTCTGTTAGTAAGATGTTATTTTTAAACAACTATGAAACTGAATTTNAATGATATATACATTTAATTGTGCTAACTAAAAATTACATTCAATCTGACAACATATTGAAATCTAAAAATACAGTTATTAATTCTTAATCATGTCTTATGTTTAAATGTCAATAAGTGCATGAGAATACTGTAATGTGTTCCAAACAAGAGTGGTCTTACTTTCCAAAATGTTATGTATACATAACAAAGAAAAGTATTAGAGACTTCCTGAACCAAAAAAATAAAAACAAAAACAAAACAATCCATGCATGTGTATGTTGGCAACTACTTGGTTTAATATCTCAGGATGGGGTAAAACTTAAATGAAATTTGGCATGATAGCTGTGTGTAAGGGACATTGATGCTAGTAAATTTTTGTTATGGAAGATCAAAGGGATAAATAGATTAGAAGGTGGTCACATGTCATATCTCAAGTGGGGTAAGACTTAATGAAGATTTTTCTTGTTGTTAGCATTTACGATTTTTTATAGAATTCTTCTCTACTCTCAAAATTAAGTTTTTTGCCATTTTAAAATAATTAATAATGTAAAAAGCTTTTTAATAATAAAATCTCATAATAGATGGCACAACAAACAATTTTATTTATTATGATAATTTAAGTTATTTTTTACATAAAATCTCATAACAGCTGGAAAAATTACATAACTTGTTGCTGGATTTTTTTTCTTTCATGTTATCAAATTGCAATATTCATAGCAAGAATCAAAATCTATTCACTTTCATTATATGTCTAAAATACTTATTTATTTAATTTGTACAGGTTGTCAATCCCTAGGAAGAGAGACAACAATGATATGAATAACACAGTTATTAATTGTTGAACTATCTCAATAATAAATAATTATATAAGGTTAATACAAAAGCAATATGAACTCTGTTAGTAAGATGTTATTTTTAAACAACTATGAAACTGAATTTTTATTATTAAATAACATTCTAAATCTTACATCTGAATCTGAGCTTATGGTTTCATTAATATCATTAATTTATCTAAACTTTAACCAATATCTATATTTCATTATATTATTTAGATTTTTAAATTTGTGAAAGATTTCTAATATGCATAATTGCTTCAAGTTTGTTTATAGTGGAAAATTCTGTATATTTTCTATAATATGACAATGAAAACTAAATTTAAATATTAAAAACAAAACTAATAAAGATAATTAATAAGTAAGAAAATATGCTCAATAGTTATGTAAGAACATGCAAGGTGAGGAATTTTGCAAAAACAAAGAGAAGTTATAAGTTTATTTACTGACAGCCTCAATATCAACTGAATTTAATGCTGCAAACAGGAAGGTAGAATAGTAGTAATAATGATGCATTTTTCATTAATTTTTTGTCACCAAGTTTTGGATAAGGATGGAGAACTCATTTACTAATGCTAAGAAAGGTTAAAAATGGCAAAGTTACAATTATAAAATAATACATATATTGTTCAANCACAACAAACAATTTTATTTATTATGATAATTTAAGTTATTTTTTACATAAAATCTCATAACAGCTGGAAAAATTACATAACTTGTTGCTGGATTTTTTTTCTTTCATGTTATCAAATTGCAATATTCATAGCAAGAATCAAAATCTATTCACTTTCATTATATGTCTAAAATACTTATTTATTTAATTTGTACAGGTTGTCAATCCCTAGGAAGAGAGACAACAATGATATGAATAACACAGTTATTAATTGTTGAACTATCTCAATAACAAATAATTATATAAGGTTAATACAAAAGCAATATGAACTCTGTTAGTAAGATGTTATTTTTAAACAACTATGAAACTGAATTTTTATTATTAAATAACATTCTAAATCTTACATCTGAATCTGAGCTTATGGTTTCATTAATATCATTAATTTATCTAAACTTTAACCAATATCTATATTTCATTATATTATTTAGATTTTTAAATTTGTGAAAGATTTCTAATATGCATAATTGCTTCAAGTTTGTTTATAGTGGAAAATTCTGTATATTTTCTATAATATGACAATGAAAACTAAATTTAAATATTAAAAACAAAACTAATAAAGATAATTAAGTAAGAAAATATGCTCAATAGTTATGTAAGAACATGCAAGGTGAGGAATTTTGCAAAAACAAAGAGAAGTTATAAGTTTATTTACTGACAGCCTCAATATCAACTGAATTTAATGCTGCAAACAGGAAGGTAGAATAGTAGTAATAATGATGCATTTTTCATTAATTTTTTGTCACCAAGTTTTGGATAAGGATGGAGAACTCATTTACTAATGCTAAGAAAGGTTAAAAATGGCAAAGTTACAATTATAAAATAATACATATATTGTTCAAAACTTCTTAAAGTTTAAATTTTTTAATTTTATCTATAAATTCGAAAGATCGAATAAATTAAAATAAAAAAATTTTTAGAAATGAACCATAAATTTATTAATTTAATTTGTTTTAATTGAACTATAGACACAATAATACAAATTTTATCTACAGTNGATGTTTCAAGGTTCGTTGATTCGTTCAATGATAATCCATACGGCCTGACCTTAGAGATCGATCAAGCTCACGCTTCTGAAGCCCATTTTCTCGACATCAACATCAAGTTCGAACAAACAACTACCCGTACAGAAGTGTACCGGAAACCAGGGGCTGAGCATCTATACATTCCAATAGGATCGTGCGATCCACCGAACTATAAAATGGCAGCCTTCAACGCCTTAATTAGGAGAGCATACTCGCATTCATCGGATCGGATATCCCTACATGCCGAACTAAGACATATTGAACAAATAGCCAACGAACATGGTTATCCCAAGATCGTACGTAAATTGATCCGCAAATGGCGCTGCCGAGAAGTAGCCCTTAACCAAGCACCCAAGGAAGTTCCATCTAACATCATCCCGGTTACATACAATCCGTACCTGAAATCAATTTACAACACAATAGCGAAGAAAAAGAATATTCGCATCGCGTATAGAAGATGCGCCACAATTTTTGACATTTTACGGAACGGGAAAGATACCCCAAACAAAGAACGACGCCCAGGGGTATATACCATCCCAATGATTGATCATAGATGGAACAGAAGCCTGATATACGTAGGATCCACTAAGCGCTCCTTAGAGGTGAGAATTAAAGAACACATGGCGGATATTCTACATGCAAGGCAAAACACCGCTCTTGCCGTCTATGCCTCGGATACGGAAATAGAACCGTTATTCAGCCAGGCCAAGGTAATCCGCACTACAAAGTACACACACCACCTTAGATGGCTAGAGGCCCTGTACATATGTATGGCTACGCTTAAAGACGACAATTGCATTAACAACAAAGACGAGATCATCCTGTCAACTGCATGGCAGGTGCTCGTAGACAAAAAGTTACGTTAATTTAGAACCAGCGAAGGGGCGCATGCGTCAATGACGCCAGCGATACGTACGAGAAAATTCGTAATGATGTTCTTTTTTCAATCAAATTTGAATGGCGTTCGATTGGACATGTTACCTGAGGAAGAACTTCAAGTTCGAAAGCGCTAGTAATACTTCGTTTACAGAGAAGCACACCGGAAACAGGTTCATTGTACGTTGTTTTTTGATTATTCTATCCCGGTGTAGTGCAGTGCCGATTTAATTCATTAAAATTTCATTATTAAAGTTTTATTATAGAATTTTTTTTAAAATAAGTTATCTAGTATATACTAGGACATTGCATGACTTTATCGTATTGCAATAGAATTGAAGCAGAGCTGAAGGCAAGAAGCAATCCCTGCATCTGTTAAGAACAGAAGAGGCAATTCTTGTACAGTACTTGATGGATGTGAACAGGTAAAATTTGCACTTGCCACTACAAAAGAGGCTATCCTCATACCTGCTGACTACAAGAGACATGATCCTTGCACTGACTGGGTATGGAGGACAATCCAAGAATAAAGCAATCAATGGCGATTGCTTTGTTCATTTTTTGCACCTATTGTGTGGCATGATTTTGTTTACCCTCTTTGAAGCTTAATAACTCCAATGCTTTCAAAAATTTCTGAAATTTTGCAGGGAGGTTTGTGTATTAGAAAGATTCATGCTATTAAATTCTGGTGGTTTAAGATCAATGGGGTGAGCAATAAACGATGGTCATGTGGGTATATCAAGTAGGGTCGGACTTAATGACGATTTTACTCGTTATTAACATTTACAATTTTTTATAAAACCCATCAAAACTAAGCTTTTTGCCATTTTATAATAATTAAAAATGTAAACAGTTTTTTAAATAAAATATCATAACAGATAGCAATACCAGAATTTTAAATGTTGCCGGAAAGTTTAGCAATTTGTTACTGGGTTTTTTACATTTAAATGGACCCACATTACATTTCTGAATTCTTTGCCTCAATTAATGGAAAATGGAAAAGTTTTATCAAAATCAATACCCGTCAAGTTTTGAGAATGAACTAGATTCTATAATTCCATAGATGATGTGCTAGCATCGCATGTGTAAAACATCTCACAACAAAGTCATGTAATTTATGTGATATTGGTTTGTCACGCATGCTCATGAAATGACCTTATATCTCAAAAATGAAGTTACATACCCCCATTTTTTATTGCATTTTTGGTTTCCGCATCACAATTAATGGAAATTAGAAAAGTTTAATCAAAATCTATCAAACAGATTTTGAGAACAAACATAATTCTGTAAGCCTCATAGAAGAAGTTTCACTAATACTCCACTTTAAATATATATCAATTGAATTTTAGGACTGTTTTCTTTCATAAATGCACATATGATTTACAATCAAATAATAAAATCGGATTCATTAACAGATTAAAACTTGCTAATTAAATATCTAGATAATTACTTACCTTATATCAAATAAGTTATCTTATATTAAATTTAATAATAGAATTAATTCAAATTTTTAGAAAATTTTTTGCTAAAATTGAGAAAATTTATATCCATTTATAGAAACAATTACTAATGAATTTCAAGAATTAATATATATTATTTTATAAATGCAACCACATAAAAGCTTTGATATTTTATTATTCAATTATAATTTAATTGAACTATTATCTTTTATATGAATTTAACATTTCAAAAATTTTTTAAATTTTATACCTTTTACTTTTAATGTAAAATCTCTCCAATTTTCTCCTTTTTCATTATATAAACAACATGAATAAGTATCAGAATCAGACAAATTTATATCATATATATCCAATATATGTTTTTCATCAATAGAATATATAGAATACTGTGCTCCAGATGATAAATACTGTTCATCTCGAAACCATGCAACTCCTAAAATTTTATAATAAGTTATTAAACTAATGTATAAAGTAAGTATTATGTTAAACAATTAAGCAACCATTTAAGAATTAAACTTACCAATTGGTTTAGTACCCTTTGCTTGGCACACAAAATGAGCTATTTTACCAGCATGTAAACTTTGACTTTCGGGCACTTCTAAAAATACTGGATCACAAACATCTGATTTTCGAAGCTTTTGAGGAATGTATTTAGGAAGATTTATTTTCATCATTTGTTTTGAACAAAAAGTTTCTTGTGTGAAATCTGAATGATTTTTTAATACAGATGGATTGGATACTTGCTGATATTCTTTTAACTTTGTAATGCTATTTTTTAGTTCTGAGTCTTTAACTGAATCTGAAAGATTGTACTTTTCACTAATTTCTTCATCTACATTATCATCACTTGAAAGTACTAATGACCCAACTGAATTAGTTTCGGATAATTCAGACAACTGATCCAAATGCCTGAAATAATAAAAAGTAATCACATAAACAAAAATTTTAAATTTTAAATTTGAAAAATAAATTTAAAACTAACCTAGACCCTATTAAAACCTGAACGTCATCAATAGGATTAGGAATAAACATAGAAGGGGGATCTCCATATGATGCCATTAAATGCATGCCAAGAGAACTATATACAGGAAGTCTTTTTTTTCTAAATAACCAATTTTCTTCCCAGGCTGAAACTGACACAACACGAGACTCAGCTCCCAATTCTTCCTCAACCTGATCATCACTTAATTCAACAATATCCATTCCAAATTCAGGAAAAGGCACTTTTTGGCCAGCAGTGACATCTAATGCATTAAATGAATCTAAATCTGATATTTCATCAGTGCTTGTTATAACAGTTTTCCCTAAGGGAATCTCATTTGTACTGTGATTACTTGATTGTATGCTCATTCTACTACTTCTATCTTCTTCTGAATCTGTACCATCTTGGGTAATTTCTTCAATTTCTTCAATCTAATTAAACCATAGTACTATTAATTTATTTTTCTAATTTTATTAATTTTTATTCAATATAATAAGCTTATTTCAAATAAAAATATTTTAATTTTTTGTTATAAATAACAAAATAAAACATACTATATATTCTATACGTGATTGTGGCTTATTTAAATCTTCAACCCATGTAAATTCATTGTTTGCTTCTTTAGCATTTGAATCTAAATTATCATCATCACTACTGTTCTCATTACTGTTCGAATCTATTTAAATTGGAAAATAAAAATATTAATGTAATAGTCAATTAATATAAATAGTATTTAAAATTCACAAATTATTATTATTTAAAGATATTTTGATTAATTCTAACTAAAAGATGTTAAAAGATAATAAATGTAAAAATTCCCTTTAAAAATATTTAAATCATTTATTTATTTATTTTTTAACTGACTGCAATTTAAGTTGGATGGTAGAAACTTTAATAACAAGTTGGATAATCATTTTTCTGTTGTTATAATTTTGTATAAATGTGTTTTGTCTATTACAGTATAACCTCCAAACAGCAAACACCATCAGACCTAGAAGTTTGTACACTATTCAGAGATGTCTGCTATTGGAAAGTACATGTCAGCAGCCCTACTATATTCTAATGCAGTCATCATACAGTGAAGAATATGATGGATTATGAAAACATCAAATTTGCATTAGAAATATGAAAATACCAAGAATAGCATATATAATTACGATTATATATATATACAGTGGAACACCGGTTAACTAACATAATCTGTTCCACGAGTCTGTTCATTAACCGAAGCAATTTTTCCCATAGAAATTAATGCAAATACAATTAATCCATTCTAGCTGTCAGTATTTTTGTAATTTTATTTGTAAAATGAGTTTTCTTTGATTCTTTTCAAAAAAAAACGGGATGAACTTTTGCATCAACCCAATATAATTTAATATCCACATGTTAAAAGCAAAAACACTATTATTAAGTTGGACCAAAGTTCAGGGAGAAGTAAGGAAAAAAAATGTACTGTAGTTGTCAAAACACTAAATTTTGAATTAAAGATTTTGGAAAAATTCACCATTGCTGCACTAGGTTATATCTCATAATAATTAAGTGCAACTACACTGGAGCAATAATTGGTAGTGGGACATTTATTAATTTGAATGTCATATAAACCTAACCCCTTTTCAAATGACAAATCTTATCATAAGTGCAGTGAAACAATGACATAATTTGAAGTACAAAGATATAGAGCAGTGGTTCTCAACCGGGGGTACATGTACCCCTAGGGGTACGAGCGTAAATCGAAGGGGTACATCTAACTTTCATTATAAAATGGAGTATGTTAATCAATTTGCTGTAAATTATTAACACAAGAAACAAGAAACGACAAAAACTTGCTTTAAAATATCCCAGTGTGAACACCGATTTCCCTTTTAATAGTGTAAACAACTTGTTTATCCACTGTTTGTGCCGTTAGTGCCGAGTGAACCTGTAGTCTAGTAAAATTACTGTTTAACCGAGCATTAATTATAGAATAGAAAAAATTTTTCTTCTATTCTATTATTGCTCGATAAGATTGGGGCTTTTCGTGTTTTTACTGAACTACTGGTATTAGAAATAACGAGGCCTGAAATGTATAGCGAATTTAGACATTACATTTGTTACAAAAATTGAAAGATTCATGTATTGTTCTGCACGTTATAAATTCGCAGCCATTATTTTCAAGATCAGTACACAATTTTAATCTCTTTAACAACGTGGGAACCAAATTTTGAAAAAATTACTGAAGACTTATCCCAACAAATATCCCATTAAATTTTGTTAGAAATTATTATAGAATAATTTAAATTTTCTTTATTGTTAATTATAATTATTTATTTTTAGGAAATGTAATTTATGCATGTATTGAAATGACTTCTGTGATTTTATATAATATACTTATCAAATAATAATAAAT